TATATATATATACACTAATCTTAAAATAAATATAATGACCATGAAGCTTAATTTTATCAAATTTAAAGCAATATATTCTATTCACTTGAAATCATATTAAGAATTAGAACCATCAACTAAAAAAATTTAAATGATCAAAGGATCCAAAAAGGGCTTTAATCATGTAAAATATATTTTTAATTCAATATTAATGTAAGCATTAAATATATATATATATATATAAAAGAAAATATCTATTTTCTATATTTTAAAAAGTACAAGATATATGTGAGTTGTAACTTTAAAAAATATAATGGACCTTTCTACACATTATATTATTATAATTGTATTATATTTAAATGACATTAGAAATAGACACATAATAATTATCGTACAGATATTTATTATAAAAATACCATTAGACTATTAAATCTTAAATTATTTATATGTAATTAATAAAATAAATGTAATAGAAATTTGATACGGGTTGATTATTTATAATAATTTTTTCTAGATCATCTTGATGAAATTGGACTGGAAAATTTTGACCTGATTTTTTTTTCCAATATTATCATTTTGTTCTTTTGATATGATTATATGACCATAATTATAACGAAATCATCACCATTGCTACCACAGGCACTTATCATTTAGATTAAATTTAATGAAAAAATTATATTAGAATAATATTATCAATTTTTATTGATAAATGCAATATACGATTTATTTTATTATTATAATATTGAATTTAATCACAAATTCATATACATACTTGTATACGCACGATACGTCACCAATAAATGATTATCATCCGACATGAATCTTGTGATTTTTTTAAATAAAAATATTTAAGATTCAAATTGAAGATCATCTAAATCCCCAATTTTAACAAGTTTATAGTCAAACTGACCGTCTCGATAAGACGAACTCGATAATATCAAAATTGGCTCAATCTGAATCTAATCACAGCCCTGATCAAGATATTAAAACATATTTGAAGGTTTTGGATCGTCAATTAAATGTTCAAATGAACTCCAAATTTGACATATTTATAGTCAAATCAAACGTCTCGATGAGAAGAATCGAACGAGCTCAAACTCGCTTAATTTTGAGATCATGAAGGGCCTCAAATCATTAAACAAAAATTATAATTAAGAGGGATGATTATGGATCATTTGATCAACTGGTTGGAGAAATTGTTAGCCAAAAGACCAAAATGCCCCTACCCCATAGGCTATGAATAGACCCTCTCTCTTCACTTGAGAATGAGAGGAGAGGGGAAGGAATTTCAGAGCCTACTTTTGGACTGAAGACCCAAGGATAACTTTCTGTCTTTATAGTTGTCAACCACTATTAACCACCACCTGCAGCCCTTGCTCACCATCGTCAGCGACCCCTACTTGTTAATGTTTTTTTTCCCAAATATAGTTGTAATGCATAACACCCAATTAGAGATCAGTGATAACTTATAGCCTCCGTAGCCATCGGCCATCATTGACCGTCGTTGACTTTCTGTGCTTACCGTCATTAGTAACCCCTGCTTACTAACTTTCTATCACAAACATGATCGTAATGAATAACATTGTATTAAATACTCAACAATAACATTCGACATCCATTGTTGCTAGTTGTTGTTGACTTCAATCGACCGTCAACATTTGTCATCATCGAGAACTGGGCACCAAAGACCACTGCTTATGACTGTTATAGCAAAAATATGACGGTTTTACCTAACACATGTATTTTTTTTTTTTTTATGTTGTATGCCGATAAATGAAATGTACAACATAGAAATGTACAACATAAAATTGTAACCCTGTTTTGAGAGAATGGGTCCAATCATCGACTACGTCATATGTTGCCAACCACTATTATAGCTTTCAACTTTGGTCTTTGTGGTCGATTACATTATTGTAGTTCCCAATTAAGGACTATGTGACCAACTATTATTTTATAGTCCAACTATGGCCTTTGTGGCCAAATGATGTTATTGCATCCTATAATTAAGGTTAATGTGGTCAACTACTACTATATATTCCAAATACGACCTCTATGGCCAACTGACATTATTGCAACCCCCAACTATGGCCTATATAGCCAACTATTACTATAGATTCCAACTTCATGTTATGTGGCCAACTGATGTTGTTGCAGTCCCCGAGTATGACCTATATGTTAAGTTATTAGTATAAATTCCAGTTTCGACCACTATGGCTAACTAACATCATTCCATACACTAACTATAACTTATATGACTAACTACTACTACAAATTAAAACTACAACCTATGTGGCCTATGAGGCCTATGTGGTATGTGTGGCAAATTAACAATATTGTAAGCACCAATCATGGCTCATGTGGCCAATTGACGATATTACAATCACCAACTACTGAATATGTCGCAAACTATTACTCCTACAACTTCAACTATGACTGATTTGTCTAACTGACACTATTGTAGTCACAAATTATAGTTTTTGTGGCCAACTAACGATATTGCAATCACCAACTATGGCTTATATAGTCAACTAACACTATTGTTGTCACAAATTATGATAGATGTGGCCAACTTGCACTATTGCGCTCACCAATTATGGCATATGTGGCCAACTCAAAATATTGCAGTCACCAACTACAGCCTATGTGTCCAACTAATGATAATTTAGTCACCAACTATGGCCTTTACGGCCAAATGACAATATTACAATCACAAACTATGGCCTATGCAACCAACTGACACTAATATAGTCGCCAACTATGGTCTTTGTGGCCAACTCATGCTATTGTAGGCACTAACTACAACCAATGTGACCAACTGGCGCTATTGCTATCAGCAACTATAGTCTGTGGCCAACTGACGTTATTGTAGTCACCAACTATGGTCTATATGTCTAACTAACGATATTATAGTCACCAACTATATCATATATTACTAACTTATGATATTAAAATTGTCAATTACATCCTATGTAACTACAATTGTTACATCTTTTAAATATGATTTTTGTGGTCAACTAATACTATTGTAATCACCAACTACGACCTTTGTGACCACTGACGATAGCACAACTTCCAATCATGACCTTTGTGACTAGCTACTATTTGTGCAATAACTAACTACGACCTTTGTGATTAACTACCTTAGTTATAGCTCCAACTACGGTCTCTATGATTGATTGCTACTCTTGTAGCCACCGACTATAGCTTTTGTGGCCAATTACAGTTATTTTATCCAAGAATTATATTTGTTGTAGCTCAATTACAGCTATTATACTATTTCACATATGTAATTTCTTAGGTAATTATTATTTTCTTAGATTTATATTTTATAATTCAAGAGAAGAGCAAACAAATGTGTATAACTAAAAATGAGTTTCTTTATGGAACAAATAAACTCAAGAACTCAATAGGCCTTACGAGCTTAATAAATCGAGCCCAACACTTAATGTTTGTGCTGACTAGATCAATCGTACTCATTAGCTGTACTTTTGGAAGTGACAAGCTACATAGCTCATTACTGTCCTAAGGACCCCATGAGTATTTCTAAAGCATGCCAACATTCCTGTGAGTTTCTCAGAATGAATTTTGCCTTAAGTTCTTTTCATCTACCTCTCCCAAACTGCCACAATTCTTATTCCAAACTCTCATGAACTAGTTGAATCTTCAAACCAAAATTGTTGATAACTATCTAGCTACACTACCTGGCTCAAGAGACATTTCTTCAAGGAAGAAGGAAAAGAAGCCCAGTATGTTAGCATATATTTGATCATTTATTAACAACATGACAATCAGTACTAGCAGTCTTGTCGATAATGAGCCTACTCATGCTCCTTACTATATAACATATAACATAATTGTAAATTTTATTTTCGTAGACCTCTGCGTGGATACATATGCTCCATAGCACATAGATAAGAAGAAAAAGTTAAGAGGGTAATAAACCTCTCCCTCCTAAGCCCTCAAAGGACTCTCAAATCATCTCTCTTTAAGAAAACCCCTCAAATTTGTCTCACTTATTCCGTAAGGACTCTCTTAAATTGTACGAGTTCACAAATTATAATTGATCTCACATCTCAAAGGAATTCAATTTCCTTAAAGGTACGATAAGCATGGAAATCATTATGAAAATCTAGTTAGGAGATCTTTTATTTCAAGGAGAAAAAAAGAACAATGAAGGATTGTACCATTGAATTCATGATGCAACAAATGAATGAACTCAGAGAATAAATGAATAAGTAGATAAAAGTAAGATAAGAGGCATCCCAAACCCATTCTAGAAACTATTTGAGAATTCACATAGGATCATCGGGTTCTATGTGTGAAGTCAAGAATTACTAAGAGACTCGACACCCGATGGAGAGACACTCTGAGTTAGAGGGAGGAGAGTCCCAGCTCCGACATTATAAGAAGTAAAGGAACATAATGATGATGTACCACCCATTAACAGGGAAGAGATGTCGGAGTCCTCAAAAGATGTGAAAAGAGGATGATAGAGAATAAGAAGAAGAATGTTAACAGAGAATGCATTCTCCTGAGAAATCATTGAAGTAGATCCACCCATAAGGTTCAAAGTCCCTTATTTAGACTCTTAAAGAGGAAGAATTTATCTTACCTAACATGTAACTGTTTTCGATTCAACGGTCTGCTTACTACAAGTAAACAACACCCTT